ATGACATTATAAACGTATAATATAATGTTTCATTATATAATTGACTTATTTTGTTTAGGGATTCACCTGTAATATTATATATAGTTACTTATTTAATATCATATCATACTTATTTAATATCATATTATAATTATAAATTTATTAATTTATATAATATTATAACAATAATATTCTCTAATATTCTTAAAACACAAGTTAAAAAAAAACTCTGTAGGACCATGCTCATCTAAACATTTTTTTCTTTAGGTCACATCTAGACAATTTGTCAATTATCACATCCCTTGGGTCGGCGGGGTGATGTTTTATTCGGCATATGAACCAGAAAATTACGTAGTATATTTTCATGCAAATTGTATGGTATAAATTAATTGGAAATTTACCATTAACTTGTACGGGTCAAGTGGTTATATTTTTCTTTAAAAAGTAAAGTTATTGCGTCTCTGGTGACTTGAAGTTTGAGTCCCAAGTTTAACACTCTCATTTTTTAAAAATAGATATTAATGTTATCAATATAATTGTTATTTAAAAAAAAATTGAATTAGAAATTTGCCATTCACCTATTTGGCCTCCCAAATTCCCAATGACCATGCTTCTTTTTCAGAAATAAAGTGATGGCATCTTCTCCAAATATGATGTTGAGTTTCAAGATTAACAATTCACCTTCCCTTAAGAACATATATTAAAATTATTGATGAAATTACCTCTCATGTATGTTCAAAAAAAAATTATTGATGAAATTACCGGTTGAAAAAAAATTGAATTGGAAATTTATCCTTTTGTATTTGTTACAATTTTCAGTGGAATTTCTTTTGGTGGAGATTGATGACGTATGGTTGGATGGAAAAATAATTTTAAAAAAAGTCAACAATTGCTGCAATATTTATTTTTTTTAAGAGCATGCAATTAAGTTGGACTCGATTTGCCCACATGCGAGCCGTGTTTGGTTGGTAAGGTTCTGTGGAAAAGTAAGCACTTCCAAAGTTATAATGATGTTTGTTTTGGATTTTCGAAATGGTTATTAATTATTTTAATTTTAATAAAATTAATAAAATATTTTAAATTATAAATAATAAATATTATTAATTATTAACTATCAATTATATCAAAAATACTAATTTAAATAGCCTTATAGTGTGGTTTAGAAAAGTTATTTTTTAGACACAAATTTTAATACAAAAAGTAATTGATTATATTTTTTATCTTAAATTATATAATAAAAATAATTATCTTTTATCTTTTAAATTATTTCATCCTCATATTACATAATTTAAATTCAAGATTTCTTTATTTTTATTGAAAAAAGATTTACTATTGAACTATATAATTTATTGACACAATCAATTACATTATTATATATAACTAATTATATTACTTTAAAACTAAAACTAAAATAAGTAATTACTTTTGAATTTTAGTTAATTGCTATGCTTGAAATGAAACTCATCAGTCTTCACATTGTCAATAATATAATATAATCAATTATGTTATTATATATAACTATTTTGATCGCTGAGTTCCTTCCTTTCCCAGAAAATACCTTCCAGAGAAAAGGAAACCAAACGGGCCCCAAAACGTTATTTATAAAGGAAGTATAATATTTGGTGTTCCCTTCACTCTTCAGATCGTCCCATTGCATGATATTTCACTTTCGTGGGCAGATATATTTGACTAATGTAAGCAGAGACAAAGCAGGGAAAAAGAAAGATAAAATATAAAACAGTGCATGAAATTTTGAAATTAAGAGTGTGGGACCATATGACCCCATGAGTAGCTGGCCAGAAGAGAACAAAAGCTTTGCCATTAGAAAATTGATGGAATTCTTGTGGGTGGGGCTTTCGTGCCTTGCTCTAGTTCTTCATGATCAAGCCTCAGAGCTAATTGAGCTTTCAATAATTCTCATTTTTATCAAAAAAAAACGAAAAAACGAAAAATTGAGCTTTCAATATTCAAATAAACTCTTTCAAAAG